GTTGTGAATCTAAGTGGATCGCAGGACTGCAGCGAAGCAAACGATAAGTCCTTATTTTCGTGTTTAAAGTGTTAACTATTTTACTATCCTTTTCATCATAATTATTATGTTGATATCCCCACCAACTATCCGACGAGGCTTGTAAAGCAACGCTTCTTAACCCGTATAAGTTCATTGTTCATTGTTCTGTGCCATGTCGTAATGAATGGAAATCAGCTCAAGTAATGTAGGTGGGGTAAAGCATCTTCGAGTCGTTTTTTGAAAATGATTAGCCGGGGCACGGAAATGACAAAAGTCAAAAGAGGGTTCCACGGTTCACAAACCCGAAGGGAAAACTAATTCCAGCAGCATTCAAGCCGACTGTATTGGTTGGCCAGTTTCAGCTTATGACCCCTCAATTCTGTGTTGCAGCTAAGCTTCAGGTGGCGGAAAGCGTGACCGGGGTTTTTCAAAATCTGGAACGCCAGGATGAGGTCACTACGTAGACGAAGATATTTTAGACTGTACACTCCCAGGGCATTCAGTCGCCTATGGTATTGCAGGTGGGACAACCCTTCCCATTTTTCGATGCTCTTCGCTAGTCGGTCTCCAGTGCAACCAGGTCGCGTTTCAACTAGGGTTGCTAAGACTTGATCGCGTACTTTAATTTGGGGCCTCACATATGCCCTGAGCGTTTTTTTTGAAAGGTGGTGGGATCGAACCTCCCCAACGCCCTCCGTAACAGACCAACATGTTGTTTCGCGGTTTAGGACGTCTACAAGGACTGCACCGAACAGCCGAGGTCGTCTTGGATCACCGCCCCAACGTCTCGCTCTTGTGAGGCGGTTTTCAGCATGTCGTCTCCAAGTTTAAATGCTTACGTGAGCTTGTGGCGGACTTGCATGGTTTTGCACCTGTCCTTGTTAAACAGAAGTAGATTTGCCTTTGACCATTCAGAGGCATCGTCTAAGTCTCATTGCACCATATCTTGATTTTCCTGACAACCGATTGCCCGCCATAATTTAATGTCATCGGCGAAAGCAAGAATATTGGCTTGATGACACTCGCAAGGTCGTTAATACAGAACAGGAATATCCGTCGCCCCAACACTGGCCATTGTGGAACACCGCAGTCCACATTAATTGGACCACAAAATGAGTCCCGAACTCGAACCTGTAGGCGCCGCTGAAGGAAAAAGTTTCCGTTCCATCCGAGGACAGGGTTTGCAACTCCGTATGCTTGCAACTATTGGAGAATGATGAGTTGATCTATGCGGTCGAATTCTTTGGAAAAGTCTAGGTAGATGATATCAATGCCAGTCCCACTGTCGGCTATTTCTGTCCAACTGCCACGGGCAAGCAGTAGGTTGGTAGTACATGACCGATGCTGACGGAATTCGTGTTTCTCCGGTGCTATGATGTTAGACCTTACGAAGTAGCCCATTACAGCCTCAGCTATGACCGATTCCATCATCTTCGACAGCACCGGGAGGAGAATCTCTGGATGATAATTGTCGGGCTCTGAACGGCTACTACTCTTGAGAATCGAGGTAATGATGCCTTGCTTCCACCTGTTTGCGATCTGCTGTTCGTCCAGGCAACTTTAGAAAAATCTCACTAGTGTTTCAGCTATCCTCGTAGCTGCCACCTGTAGTGTTTCGGGGGAATGTTGTCAACTCCGGGTGAACTATGGGTGCGCAAGGAGAGCAGCTTCCTCAAAATGGTCGCCGAACCAAAGGGGACGTGTCTAAATACTGGCGTCCGGGAGTTTGGGACAGGTTTGTTACACATGCTGGTTGCAAGTCGGAAAATTGGAGCGTATTGGAGCCGTAGGACGTCCGCCGCATCCACGGCAGTTTGAGCACCTCCGTCTGCTAACATTAGTGGGGGAACAATACGTCTCACATTCCGGAAGATTTTATTCTCTGATGGATGTTGCACAGTGCTCTACAGACGTGAAATCATGCCACATTTGCTTACAATTGACAGCAAACCCCTGTTCCACTGCCATACTATCAAAAACTTGGGGATACAATATTCAAATGTCATTGGCTTTGCTATACCAGCTAGATTTAGGGTAACTCAAGCACGTAGAGGTATCAGATAATTAATTTGAAAGAGTCGACTAGCTATGCACCAATCACGTACGCTTCCGTTGCTAGATTGTGCTTCAGTTGTCTACTGCAATTCCAGCAAAACGACCGCATATCCATGGAGCGCGTGCAACAGCCATTTATCAAGCGTCTGGTAGGGTATTCTACTAGATTATCAACTATGGATCGATACACCACCTTGCTACTTGGACGATCTCAAGATTTGGAGGGCATTCAAGCTAGTAGACGATCAGAAAATACCACAAGACGATTTCAATTGGGATTACAAGTCGTCGGCTTGGAAAATTTTTGAGTTTAACCCTGTAAATTGCAAAATAATAAGCTTACCCCACCAGGGCATCCACTAATTTCTACTTGGACAACACGTTTTGCGGAGAGCTTCTTTTGAAACTGGTCTTGGAATACTCGTGTAGGACGATCTCGGATGCTCAAAACGGGCCAAGAAACAGTGAAAAAGCCATGCAACTGGGGTCTGCTGCGGAAGGCACTTGGCCAGTTTGATCCCAACTTTTTCGCAAATACTAAACGCTTACGTGAGACCACATTTAGATTGCATCCTTAGAAAAAAGGTGGCCTCACTGATATTGTGATGCCAAAACGGAGAGCGACAAAGTGTTAAGGGACTGCTTCATTTCACCTACCAGTTGGGACTAAAGACTCTAGGAGTTATCGGCAGATATATCGTCTGCGAAGTGATCTCTTATTGGTGCATCAGATCCTCAAGGATCCTGACCACCTATACCGACCTTTAATGAAACACAGCCACTACACCTTATCAATAGGCCACCACTTAAATTTGGCGATACAATATATCTGGTTGGAATACCGCCCTTTCGCCCTTCGTATATCCCAGCCGTGGAACTTACTTCGCACCTGTCATCTTCGACCCTGCGCTTTCAGAATTCAACACTCGACTTGATGATGCATCACATCACCTACATTACTTGATCTAACCGAAGTAAGTGGGACACGGACAACGCAACCAAAACCATGTGTTCATGTGAAATTTGCCCTAAGTCCACCGCCACGCGTTTTTTCCAAAACACATTCGTTTTTAGATTTCCTCTTTACTTACACTAATTGTTAAGCGTTTGCTTTTTTATCCGCGCAAAACAGTTGTTCCATCGTTCCATACTGGCTGCGCCGAACGTGACAAAGTCTCGACACCTTATATGGTAACCCTAATAAAAAAGATATTCAAATTCGCTAGTGTGACGGAAAGGGCCAATAAAATGTAACAAGGAAAACCAAATAAATTACATTAATGCGGAAAAATTAAAACAAAACCGTTCAGAACTTTTTCCTTGACCAGTACTCTACATTATGGGACAGAGTCCCAAACAAGATACGTGAACTCCAGTATGTCATAATTTTTCACAGTTATGCTTCGATTTTTCAATATAGGAAGGATTATTGATGTCTTGAGGTTAGACGTAACAAATGAATTATCTTATGAAGTAGGAGCAAGATTTGATTTGGATGCAGTAACATTTATCCACTTAACCCTCCCTGTCTTTAGCTAACCAATGCTTAACGCCCAGCGTTTTAGCTTTTTCTTCACATTTACTCTGCACGGCTAACTGTTACTTCTTTCACGAAGGAAAACCCAAAACTCCAAGCTTCGGCGATGTCAGATGTCTGCAAATGATGAGTCAACCCGAAAATTCGTCTGAGAGCCGCTTTGAATGTGAACGATTCCGACAATTATCTCTTTGCTGCCGTGCAATTTGATCAGAAACATCATCTTACTGTCGCTTGCGCTGCAAAACATATGCCATCTGTCGTTTTTACTAGTATCATTAATAAATACTATCTTCATATCGTTTTCCTCTTTTCTTTCCTTGTTGGCCTCAACTGGGCCGATCTTCTGAGATTAAGTTTCCAAGCGACTCAGCACACACATGCCACCGGCAAGTGAGGAAACTACCAGTCCGCATAACACGAGTCACCGAAAAATGTACGCTGGATCGACTATTGAAACGCTCTGATTAACCATTTCTATGTCCCATGCCGTCCCAGTGATGCATACTAGTATTTAATAACATATCTAGATTTATTGAGCCACTTCTATTCTTTTTACCTCTGCTATGGATCAAAAAGCCCAGGTGGACCGGCTGGCCGTCCATCTGTGGGGACAGAGAGGCTAGGAATAGCTGAATGGTGGAACAGACTGCATGGTTGGAGTACCCATTTCTACGTATATAATAAAGGCCCAAAATATTAGTTATTGCAGCGGTGGCTTACTTGTGTTTAAGCCACACTACGGCCCGAGCGAGCGTGGAAGTTCAGAAGAAACTTTTCAGGGGACTATCCTGCATGGAAGCAGGACGCAACAGTTCCACGAATGGCTGCACTACTTCACTTGAACTTAGTGTTATATGTGCATCTCTTGTTATTCTTAACTTGTCCGTTCAGCTAAAACGTGGAATTGACCAACCACCTTGAAAATTCCTTTACACACCACCTTAACCAGCTTAAATAATTATGTTTAATGCTATCCTAGTGTACATTTTGACCACACTACGCGGTCACAATGAGTCTCGAAATGCTAAGAACTATAACATTTGTTTATTTATCCATCCATCTAGACTGGATTGGCCCATGCGATTAGCAGACAATTCGGCTGCGCACCGTAGGTGGGCGACACTCATATGTAGAAACCAAAGGAGTCTTTTTCTTGGTTAGATAGGGATATTCGGTTAGATGCGTGATATAGTCACGTAGTGTGAATGGTAATCAGTTGCGTTGTCTTATTCCAACTGTTCAATGACATTAACACAAGCTTTCTGGGAAAAAAGATAACGGGCATCAGACTAAGCCTCACAACAACTATAAACAATTTACTTGAATCGATTGCCTCTGGACAAGCTGCAGTGAAGTTTGGCGTAATTGCACCCTTCATACTCACCCAACGATTTTCTTTATCTGTAGTTTTCAATGTTGTCGGAGGGCTGGACAGAGGCGCAAGTCGACGTCCACAATCCCCATGTTTTCCGATTAAACTGAAATGCGGTTCGAATTCGAGGGTTCGCTCTGTCCACTCCGAGTTGGCCATCAGTTGCATCTCCACCTGATATATCACGAGGCCTAGCTCGTGATGCAGCAGATGTGCCAAATCAACACCGAACTTCACAGCGCTTTCATCCACTACTTGTTCTCGGCACAGCTGACAGAAAGCGGCACTTCGCCCCAACGGTCTACCTGTGAAGTCGAAGACCAGCTTCTCCTCTGTCCCAGCTTGTTCCAATGTCACCTGAAGCAGTTATATGAACGAACCTCGTATACATGCTCAAGGATAATGGTTAAGCAAGTGCACCAGAAAGTATTGCTTAAGTTCTGATGTGGTAAAGACGATAGTATCACTGAATAGTAAAAATATTCGAATCCTCTCGTGTTACACATAATTTCTTTTTCGTGCTTCGAATATGGGTTATCGCGATTGTTTCTTTACCACATGTAGATACTGCATGGAATGGTGGGCTTTCAACAATTTCATCAACAAGTGGTATTTGGCTAACACAGAAACACCTTAGCGTGATCGATTTAGAGCAGTAGTCTTTGTTGGCTAAACGACCAGTAGAGTATTGAAACTGCGCGAGAAAACAGCCGTGGAACAATGGGGCTGCATAATAATAGTGGAACATTCAGTGTATTATTGCTGAGATGATGAGACATGGTAATCTCAAAGGACTACCCTCACGTCAGCGCAGGAGCTGATGTCACCGAGATGCAGTCACTAGTGTGGTGTATCAGTCACTATCACAAATCAGATGTTATTGTTGTCTGGCGCTACTTCTGCGCGGGTGTCTGCTTATTGATTACCCACTCAGCAGTGACGGCCTCAGCCGCTTGATCGATGTTGTGTACAAGTTCTTTCCAGAATACACGTTTCTTGCTGCCAGCTCGGTGTGTTCTGTTGTCCTTGCGTCGTTCGACTACTAGCCACTGCTGCGTTCGAAAGCTTCCGTTAGTTCCGCACATGTAGATTTTAACAACTAGGATATCAAAACAAAGCCTAGGTATTGGAAACCAGGTATTTCTAGAATGGCTCGTCCTCGCCTTATCCCAACAGCGTGCCTGAACTCGACCAACCGTAGGTCATCGCCTAGGTATCCATAAGGGTCAGCGTCACAAACTCCATCCAGTTAATCTCCCACACTCTCCAGTTATCTGGCAGCGAACTTTCGATCATCTGCAGCGCTGGAAACCTGATCACCGGCTGCCAACTAAATGCAAGCTACCTCAGGACCATAAACTTCTTTCTCTCCTCTGTCACCATATCGAGTAACGCTCCGGAGAGCAAGAACAAAATCTGGACGGCGATCAAGAAATCATTGTTAAGGAAATTCGAGGTTATTTACACAGTATATGAATTCACTATTCTGCTGCGGTCCGTTTCACTGTCCGACGATTGTTAACTGGCCTGGACGCACAGAATGGAGTGCTATTGAGTTATTTGGAATTTGGTCATTCAGTGAAGAGTAGCATTTATGGACTTTCGCTCCTGTTGGATTCAATTTGGTAGCGTTGAGGACGGTTTTGAAGTATCAATGAAGGAACATGACTTGCTTAAGGTGGAACTTGAAGTCGGGATGGAGGCAATTGACTGAGAAAAGGTACAGCTGCCAGTCACTGATGCTGTTCACCATCTATTGTTACAATGGCACGTTACTGTGCATACTGCGTGAACTAGTACGGAAGGCGTTTTATAACTTGACGAATCTACGTCCGGTTCGTGAAACTGGGTTTCGACACTGTACCATCAACAGCATGCAGATTCGGGACCATTTGTTCGAGTGACACTTACACTCCTAATGCCGTGTTTCCAGTTGTATAACTTTACACTTATTTTGTTGTTGTTTCAAAACATCCGAGGTGAATATGATAAAATGCTGCAAATGCACCAACTGGGTTACATAAAGCTTATATTAGTTTGACATGGACTGCTCAGCGCACGAAGTTAGCTGAGAAAAAACAATATAAACGATAGGATAGAACACGCAGTGGCTTGACTTAGAATGAAATGGCAAAACCAGTGGTAGATGCGAGGTGAGAAACGACAAGCAGCAAGCTCGTGACCCTTGTGGCTGTGTTATACACATGGAGGAGACGCGACAAACCATGGGTTAAAATGAATTCCATTTGCATTACTGACACAGCTGAGTATAAACCCACCCTGACTATTTGATGCGTATGGTAGTTTCTACTACATACTAGGGAAAAAACTGTTTCGTGAAATGTGGACCAAGCATGAGGTTGTTCGGATAGATTTTTCGTTAGATGGTGGACAACCAGATTCACGCTCTCTGCACGTGTAAACTAAGCTGCGCCTCCAAGGATATATGTCGAGCCAGTACTGGAAGGTAATTGGAACAGTTGCAGAATTTTACATGAATAGCACCGTGAGTTGTGGATGGCAATCAGTGACGGTCGTCAATTCAGTTAGAGTGAATACGTCTGGCGAAATAGTGTCGTGATATAAAGATAATGAAAATATGAATTCTAGAGTGCAGTAGGTCACAAACAGCAGTTTACGATTTTCAAATCCGAAAACACTTTATTATGAAGAAATGGACAAGCATGTACACAAAACATAAAATTTCACAGTTAATTCAACTAAAAATTCAGCGGGCATAGATAGTGAGAAGACGCTGTCAATTCGTGCATTCGCTTCGATCATGTCTTCACACTTATAGTCGGTATTATATACAGGACTCCATCGGGGTCTGGCGCTTAGTTGGAGCCATCAGCAAATATGGGAGCTGCAGAGACTGTCTGATTATGGGTGACTTCAATACCTCCAGTATCGACTGGGAATACCTTCACTGTGGACTCTGTTGAATCTTTCGACGTTTTCTTCGAGCCGGTCTTGGAAATAACCCGATTCAGCATGTTACAGCTTTTAAGCAAATTATCCAAGGCCAGACTGCTCATATCCTTGATCTAGTGCTTACACCAGCGCCAACCGATGTCACTGGCTTGTCTGTCATCCAGCCGCTGGGCAACAGTGACCACAGTGTTGTCTTCTTCTCGTGGGCATGGCGTCTCGCTGTTCATAGCCAAGAAGTTCACTTCCGAAACTCATGGCTTGCCGATCCAGGACGCATAAAAGCTGCTGAGAGTGCAGTCGATTAAAGTATCCATGTACACATAGAGCTAGAGGATGCTTTTATTTACTTCCGTACCTAGGAAACCGTGGTACTTGATAAGCTTGTCCCAGTTTTATGAAGAGGACCGATTTCCAGGGGTCCCCTTGGATTGATGTTGAACTACGATCTCTGCTGGAAAAAAAACGGGCAATGGGATAAATTCAAGATCGTGCAGTCGACTTCTACCTATTCTGACTAAAAAGGCGTCAGAAACCTTTGTACAGCAAAACTCGTGAGAAGCGCCAGAGGTATGAGTGCGAAGTTGCTGCACAGTCTTCGGCATGTCACAAGATGTATGTAACCTCAGCAGTCTAGCAACTAGACACAGAGTCAACAGAGAAGCATGGAGATCAGCGGATAAGGGACAGTTATCGCGTCATGTTAATCGTGGCATAGTAGTTGAAAGTGAACAACACACTTCAGCTAATATGTCGCAGGAAGAAAGGAACATTTTGACAAAAGCACATCACAAGAAACTCTGTCCATATCTGAAACAGGCTACCAAAGCTGGCAATTGTGTTCCCGCCTTGTGATCCTCCAGGGAGGCTGATGTACTTCACGATGACAGTCTGGAAGATGATCTTCTTGTCAAACGGCACTCCAATTATACGATAGAGTACCCTCTGACCTATTCAATTGTAGCTACGCATCCTTTTCCTCTTGGGTCTGTTGATATAAACGCGGACGTGGTATTGAGGCTTCTCTTTGAATTGGATACACGTCGCCTGGTCCCAATGGTTTGCACCCTGTGTTCATCATGACAGGCGCTGAGTATATTACGCTCCTTATAAATCATATTTTTCGGTTCACCTTGGCAACTGCTCGGCTTCCATCCGATTAGAAAGTTGGTATCGTCAAGCCAATTTACAAAGATGAGAAGCGACAAAACCTTTCTACAGCCGGATTTGCTTGACGTCGATTATTTGTAAACTCATGGATAGGCTTCTTAAACCTTCTCTACAGCGTCACTTGGATGCCCTGAATCTGATATTGCTCGCCCAGCATAGGTTTCAGAGGGCTCGCTCTTGCATTTCCAGCCTGCTTGTCGCCAGAGAAAGATGGGCAAAAGCTTTAGATGTTGGTAAAGCTTTGGCCGTTATCTACGTCAGCTTCAGCAGGGCGCTTGATAAGGTACCACCTAAAACGACTCTTCCTTAAGCTCCGGACTATTGGTGTCACCTCGGATATGCTCTCTTGGATCGCGGCTTTTTTGCACGGTTGTTTGATGACAGTCAAAGTGAATTCAGCTCTATCCCAGGCTTTTCTGATGACTAGGAGTTTGCCGCAGGGTTAGGTTTTTGGTCCTGAATTTTTAAAAATCTTTACCAACGACCTTCTCTTTGTGCTTTAGTTGGTGTGTCTAATCTATGCTGATGATCTGAAACTATGGTTAGAAGTTTCTTACCTCAAAGACGCCGCCAGGTTCCAGTCAACACTTGACACCCTTAATAATTGGTCCATTACCGGGGGTTTACGCATTAACCATGACAAGTGTTACGTCCTCCCAATCCGTGCCCCGGAACCCTTCAGCACATACCAACTTTGAGGCTGTCTGTTCATGAATGCTACTCTGGCGAAGTACCTACGCACTATCGTGTTTCCCCATCTTAAGACAACCCAGGACACTAAAAATTGCCGGTGCAGCCAACTTGGTGTTCAGCGCTATAAAAAGATCTTTCTCTCGATTGTCCCCGAGGATCTTCAAACTCCTGTTTGTCTCAAAACTGAGGCCTGCTCTTGAGTATGGCTTACCGGGTTTTTCCCCCTCACAAAGTTTGTATGCAACATGCTGGAAAGAATAAAGATGAGTGGTACGAAATCTGTCTCGGTGTTACTTGACATGTCCTACCCTGCTCGGATACAGCAGGTGAATCGGTTCTCGTTGGAATATCGTTGTCGCCAGACAGACCTGATTTACACCAGGCGTATTCTTAGGGGAGAATTGGGGACCGGGTCACAACACTTCTTCTAGTTGAACACTGAATCTCAACGCTGGGACACACATGGAAGCTGTTTAAGCCGAGCAGTCTCCATATTCGTCCGGAGGTCACTCTACCCACTCGGCTGGTGAACGATTGGAAATCTCTACCGGAGCCTATTTTTA